AACTACAGTAACCCAAAATTGCTAGAATGTTCTAGAAAATACGCTTAAATGGTGTAATAATTTGAAATCCTTGCAAATTTTAGGTCTAAAAATGAAAAATAGACGTTTCTAGCTCAATTTTGAGATTTTTCAACAATTTTGGGTTACTGTAGTCTCAAAAGTCCGCAAACACCGAAATTTCAGAAAAATTGAGATTTTGAGCTTATATTGCGAGTGTAGACTAATTTGACAATGGGAAAAACGAATTTGGCATGGAAAACTACCCAAAATGACATTTTCGCGGTGTTTGCGTACTTTTCGAGCAACAGTAACCCGGAAATTTTGAAAAATTCAAAAATTGAGCTAGAAATGTCTAGTTTTTTGGTTTCTAGTGTAAACTTTCGATATAAAGCTCATTTTTAGCCTCAAAATCGTTCTAAAATGTCCTTGAAAGCCTAAACATCTGATTTTTTTTTGAATCTTTGGGTTACTGTAGCCCAAAAAGTACGCAAACACCGAATGAGCCCAAAATGTCTAGTTTTCAATGTTTTAGACTGAAAATTGGCTCCTAACCTCATTTTTAGCATTCAAGTTGTCTGAAAATGTCTCTGAAAGCCCATAAATCGGGATTTTGCGGTTTTCTCGGGTTACTGTAGCTCCAAAAGTACGCAAACACCGAATCCGTCGGAAATCTCTCGCTTTTTTGGTTTCTAGTGCAAACTTTCGATATGAAGCTTTTTTTTGCCTCCAAATCGTGTTAAAATGACCCTGAAACCCTTAAAAATTGATTTTCTGGGTTACTGTAGCTTGGAAAGTACGCAAACACCGAATGATCACAAATGCTCTAGTTTTTCGGTTTCTAGTGTAAAATTTCGATATAAAGCGCATTTTTAGCTTCAAAATCGTGTGAAAAGGACTCTGAACCCCCATTTTCCAGGTTACTGTAGCTAAGAATGAGCAATGTTTGGTTTCAGGCGGTTTTAGGCAATTTTAGGTCGATTTTGAGCGATTTTCATAGGTATTAAGTCATTTTCAGCCGTTTTTAGTGGGGTTTGGACCATTTTTCATGGATTTTCAGCCAAATTAACCACATTTTCCTTCCAGATTGACTCCAAATCCACATGTTTCGGCGATCAAATCTCCCGTCTCATGATGCGCCTGTTCGTCGGCTACGAGGATACGGTAATTGCCGCGCTGCGAATAAAAGCGGCGAATTTATCGCTGGTGAATCCGGAGACGTTATCAATGGGATATCTACACAATATGGCGACCCATGATCAGTTTCATTTTGTGCAGCATTCGCTGGGAAAAGCCAGCTACCTGGTTGCCGCCATTTTGGTGATCATTTTTGTGAGTTTTTGAGCCAAAAAGTAGAAAAAATGAGCGAAAATAGGCCCAAGAGTTGTAAAATTTGGTTTTTTCTGGTTTTGAAACACTCACGGCTGAATTCCCCACGAAATTTGGGTCCAGGAGCTGAAAACTAGAAATTTCTAGCGTTGTTTTGAAATTTTTCAGGTTTTTCGGGTTACGGTAGCTCGAAAAGTACGCAAACACCGAATAAGCCTAAAACGTCTAGTCTTCGGGTTTCTAGGCTTAATTTTCAGATTTAAGACGGTTTTTGAAGTTAAGAACGCGTTTAAATTACTCTGAAAACCTGAAATTTGAATTTTCCGGATTACTGTAGGTTGAAAAGTACGCAAACACTGAACGAGCCCAAATCGTTTTGTTTTCGAGTTTCTAGGCCTAAATTTTAATTTTAAGATCATTTTTAGCATCAAAATTGTGCTAAAATGTCTCTGAAACGTCGAAATTTCGATTTCCCTGGTTACGGTAGCTGCAAAAATACGCAAATACCGATGGAGCCGAAAAATTGTAATTCCAAGGTTTTTAGACTGAAAATCCGCATTTAAGCACATTTTTCATGTCTGAAAGGCAGAAAAACGTCTTTAACACCTCGAAAAATTTCGATTTTCCGGGTTACTGTAGGTTGAAAAGTACGCAACAACGAATTTCAGGGTTTTAGGGTCATTTTGAAGCGATTTTATTGATAAACATGAGCTTAAAAGCGATTTTTTAGTCTAGAAACTCGAAAACCAGAGGTTTTGGGCTCATTCGGTGTTTGCGTACTTTTGGAGTTACAGTAACCCGGGAAAATCGAAAATTTTCAAAAATCGAGCTAGAAGCGTCTAGATTTTTGCATCTTGACAAATTTTCGGGAAATCCGAATATATAGATAAAATTCAGTGTTTGCGTATTTCTCGACATCTACAGTAATCTGAAAATTAGCGAAAATCTGAGTTTTCACCGATTTCTGATGATTTAGAACAATTTTCACTACCAAATTCGAGTTTCCCATCTTCGACTAGGCCTAGACGCAAAATTTAGGACCGATTGCTCGTCATGCGGTGTTTGCGTACTTGTCGGGCTACAGTAACCCTGGAAAGTTCGAAAAATTTCAAAATTGATCTGGGAATGTCTAGTTTTCGGCTTCTAGCCTCAAATTTTGTGACAAATTCGGATTTTGAGCTTTTAGAGAGTTTGAAAATCAGAAAAACCTCGAAAATTTGAATTTTTAAAAATTTCAAAAATTTCAAAAATTGAAAAATTTCCAGACATTCGCCATCTCGATGCTTCTCCGCTTCTCCCATCACCAAATCTTCGTTTTTATCATTGATTTGTTGCACATGTTCGAACTACAGCAGCCATTGAATCCACCAGTAGCTCCGCTGATTACTGTAGTTTTGGCACTTGTTGGTAGGTTTTTGGGGGGTTTCTAGACGGGGAAAGTCATTGAAATTGAGCCAAAAATTGTGAAAATCGGCTGAAAAACAGCAAAAAAGGTCCAAAAACATGAATTTTGAGCTATTTTTCATGAATTTTGGACCATTTTTCATGACTATGGTACCATTTTTAAGAACTATGGTACCATATTCCAGGATTATGGAACCATATTTCAGGACTATGGTACCGTTTTTCAGGTCTATGGTCCCATTTTACAAAACTATGGTACCATATTTCATAGATTTTGGACCAATTTTGAGGACTATGGTACCATATTTCATGACTATGGTACCATTTTTCAGGACTATGGTACCATATTTCTAGACAATGGTACCATATTTCATGATTTTAGACCATATTTCAAGACTATGGTACCATATTTCAGGATTATAGAACCATATTTCAGGACTATGGTACCATATTTCACGACTATGGTACCATATTTCAGGACTATGGTACCATTTTTCAAGACTATGGTACCATTTTTCAAGACTATGGTACCATATTTCAGGATTATGATACCATATTTCTAGACAATGGTACCATATTTCAGGATTATGGAACCATATTTCAGGACTACGGTACCATATTTCATAGATTTTGGACCAATTTTGAGGACTCTGGTACCATATTTCATGACTATGGTACCATTTTTCAGGACTATGGTACCATATTTCTAGACAATGGTACCATATTTCAGGATTATGGAACCATATTTCAGGACTATGGTACCATATTTCATAGATTTTGGACCAATTTTGAGGACTATGGTACCATATTTCATGACTATGGTACCATTTTTCAGGACTATGGTACCATATTTCTAGACAATGGTACCATATTTCTAGACAATGGTACCATATTTCATGATTTTAGACCATATTTCAGGACTATGGTACCATATTTCAGGATTATGGAACCATATTTCATAGATTTTGGACCAATTTTGAGGACTCTGGTACCATATTTCATGACTATGGTACCATTTTTCAGGACTATGGTACCATATTTCTAGACAATGGTACCATATTTCTAGACAATGGTACCATATTTCATGATTTTAGACCATATTTCAGGACTATGGTACCATATTTCAGGACTATGGTACCATTTTTCAGGGCCATGTTACCATATTTCATAGATTTTGCTTTTAGGCCATTTTGGGCCAAATTTTGCCGAATTTTCGGGATTTTTTAGCAATTTCAGGAATGGAAGCAATTATGGCCGAGGTTTTCATGGATACATCCATCGCCTTCTACGTGATTCTGATCGTTTGGGTCGCCGATCAATACGACGCGATATGCTGCCATTCGGCGACTTCGAAAAAATTCTGGCTTCGATTTTTCTATATTTATCAGTTCTTTTTCTATTCTTATCAGTATCGATTCAATGGACAGTATGGGGGATTGGCATTGCTGACGAGCTCGATTTTTATATTGGTAAGGGTCTTTTTTGACTGAAAATTGCAGAAAAAATGAGCCGAAATGAGCCAAAACCCAGTTTTTGGCGCCTTTTTTCGCATTTTTAACGGAAAATTGACTGAAAATGAGCTGGATTCGAAAGCCCCACAAAATTTGGGTCTAGACGCTGAAAACTAGACCTTTCTAGCGCGATTTTGAAGTTTTTCGATTTTTCGGGGGTTACTGTAGCTCGAAAAGTACGCAAACACCGAATGCGCCCAAAACGGCTAGTTTTCGGGGTTCTAGACTGGGAAATCGATTTTTAGCGCATTTTTGATGTCTAGAACGCGCTAAAATGCCTCTGAAACCCTATAATCTCCATTTTCTGGGTTACTGTAGGTTGAAAAGTCCGCAAACACCGAATGCGCTCTAATTGTCTAGTTTTCGGGTTTCTAAACTAAAAATGCAAGTTTGAGCTCAATTTTTCTGTTAAAAACGCGTCAAACTGCCTCTGAAACCCGAAAATCCCAATTTTCTGGGTTACTGTTGGTTGAAAAGTACGCAAACACCGAACGAGCCCAAAACGGCTAGTTTTGAGGGTTCTAGACTGGAAATTCGTCTTTGAGCTCATTTTTGATGTCAAAAATGCGTTAAATTGCCTCGGAAAGTCTAAAAATCGAATTTCTGCAATTTTGCGGGTTATTGTATCTCTCCGCTCACTGGAAACTTCTTTGTTTGCAGCACTCGATGGTCTATTTCTTCCATCACTACGAGATGCCGCTGATACTGTATCAGGATCGGGTGTCCCAAGTTTTGGCAGATCTACATGCACCACAGGTAACATCTATTAGAGCAATTATGTGTGTTTCTGTGTGTCCAGATGTCCCAAAGATTAAAATTTCTGAAAATCATGAATTTTTCAAGTCAAAATAGCCTATTTTTCATGATTTTTGGGTTAAAAATCGCACTATTTTGGTTCGCAAATTGATCGATTTCGACGATTTTTAAGCCGGAAACATGTCTATCTGTGTGTGTATTCAGATGTCCAAAAATCAGACGGACCGAAACGGACCGAAAAACCGGCCCGGCACGCATGTGCAGCTTTTTGGCTTGTAACTTTGTTCACAAATATGAGACAGTGTCTCAAATACTATCATGTTGTAGTGCTTGTCAAGTTCAATCATATCTAGTTTAGTTGGTCAAAAAATATTGATTCTAAAAGAAACTAGGACAGGGCCCGCCACGGCCCGCTTTAGGCCCGTCCGCAAGTATGTTTTTCCATGTAGGCCAAAAATGACACAAACTTTGAGCCGCAAAAAATAATCGTCATTTTGGAGCAAACAATGACCAAAAAATCCGGGGATTTTCAGCTGAAAAATCGTCAAATTCGTCAAGAACACGCTCATGATTCAGAATATAAATTGGGCATCAGAACGCAATACGGCATTACTTATTTAGAATCCCCGTCGCATTGCCCCACGGACCAGAGATGAGCGGAAGAGATTTACGGAAATTTACGGAAGACGGTTTATCTTCGAAATGAAAAATGCTACCAAAAAGCTGTCAACAGACATAATGTAGATCTCAATGAGAGCTATCGATTGGTATTAAAATTGTTTCGAAATTTTGTGGATTATTCAAATAGAGTCTTTCTTCCGTCTTCCGTCTTCCGTGTGCCAGACGGAAGACGGAACACGGAAGAAACGCCACATCTCAACTCTCTATCACTATTATGAAATAAATTTTATACCAATCAATAGCTCTCATTGAGATCTACATTTTGTCCGTTCACAACTTTTTGGTAGCATTTTTCATTTTGAAAATAAACCGTCTTCCGTAAATTTCCGTAAATCTCTTCCGCTCATCTCTGCTACGGACCTGCTTCGGGACCGTCCGCAAGTATGATGGAAAAACGAGAGCCTTGTTCGACTCTATGTATATGTCAGAATGAATTATTAATATTAGGGAAAAAAAGAGAGCTCTAGTCTGTGGTCGTTTATGTGCTCGCCGAGCACATACACATGCCCCCACGTTTTCTGACATTTTTAACACAAAAAAAATGCTTTTTTCTTGTGTCAGATGTGACGGCATTTTTTTTTTCGTCTTCCCATCTGTTTTCAATTTATGATTGCTTTTCTTTTTTTCATAATTTTTTTTCCCCAATTTTGCCGCTGATTGAATTATTTTTCGGGCATTTTTCATTAATTTTGAGCCAATCCTTTCGCTCAAAATGACGCAATTTTTTCTCTTTGCGTCTTGTGTGGTTGGAAAAATATGGGAAAGGAGAAGAAGACGTGACGGAGAAGGAGGGGGGGG